GTGTGTGTGTGTGTGTGTGTGTGTGTCTGTGTGTGGATGTGGCAGAACACACTGCGGCCCAGCGGCGGGCGGTCAATAAACTCTAATTGCAAATGCAAATCTATCGGTAAACTGCAGTGGATTCCAATACGGAGTGCAGACAGATGGAGCAGCCAACCCAACTCAAACAGAGGGAGTTCTGCCTCTGGATAGTGGAACAAATGATTCAGTCTGAAAAAAGGAAAAGCATATGTGAAGCGTTTTATGAATCATTTCCCAGTTTTCTGAATTGGCCACGAGGCCCAAGCGCTGGAACTGTCACAATTTGGACTACAATAACAATCCAACTGCATAAGGATATTGTTTATGTTGCGATTTAAGTGCTAAAGCTGCCATTTAAAGGACACTGTGGCCAAAATGAAAAGTTATACATCACTACCGCTGTTGTGAACATGCATGTTCTCCTCTTTCAGCAGTGCCACAGTAGTTTCTAAAGAAAGATCTTCTGGAGAACCCTGTTCCGATGATGCTCGTCACAAATGCTAGCTAGCAACCCAGATGTATTTATTGACCTCTAGATCAGAGGCTAGCAGCCGCACTAAAGACCCTCGATGTAAACTGGGAAGTTCTAATCTTGGGTAGCGCTTCCATAAGCATTCCCCTGACCAATCACAAGGCTGCGTCTCCGGCCCCGCCCACACAGAACAGTTTGAGTCAGAGAAACTTAGCGAGCTAAAGCTAACTCAGCATAACCCAAAGCTAGCAAGCTGGACCACCTGTCTGTATCTACCTGTCGCCCTTTCATTCATTTATCCAACACTAATTAGCTGGTTAGCATGCTAACTTCAGCAGATATCTCGGCAACGTGATACAGAGACGTCTTTCACATTGTCGAAACTGTTATTTCCTCACTTTCTGTTGATAATTTTAATGTTTTAAGCAAAAAATCGTACAAACTGCACCTTTAAGACAAAATTTAATAATGCATAATTAAAATTGCGGCTCTATCTGTTTAAAATTTGCACTCTTTCCTGTTTGATTTTGCTATAAAAACGATCAGTCATTGTCTCAAACCTATGAAGAAGACATTTACATCATTTCCCGTTGTTTTCCTCTTCACTCAGTCCATCTCTTCTCCTCCCTGTGTAGTCATCCCTCTCTCTCCCCCCGGGGCCTGTATGTATTATACAGAAGGAATTTCCGGCCTCACTTTGATGTGAGAAACAACTGTACTGAAAGTGAGCTGACAGTTTTTCATTATGATTAAATATAATCTTTTGAGACTGTTACTCTCTGTGTCTGTGAAACAAAGAGACCGAGAGCGGCAGAATATGAAAATATGAATTAACTGCATAATTTGATGTTCAGTGAAATATCTTTACTCATAAATAATGTTTTTCCTCGCCGGGTCTTCAGCATTACTTTAGCCGTGGTTAATATCACAGCGATGTGTGGCCTCGGGCCATGCGGCAGTGAGCTATGGCGTTCACACAGACACTGATAAACCCATATTGAAATAAAATAAAAGTTCCCTCATGCTCGGAGAAGCTGCTCAGCCTCCTGAGCTTTAAACCGTGTTTTGGATTTAACACTCGGGGCCAAATGTACATACGAGCGCAAATTTGCAGTTGCACCGCAAAATGGGCCTCAGTGCAACCGTGATATGCAGTCACAATACATCTGAAATTGGTTTGAGAAGAAAGTCATAAGTCCTCTATGAAGCACACATTTTAACTAAAATAAAGGCGTGTCTAAGTCACGTGTTTTATTTTCTTGTCCACTAATTCGGTGAAATCAATGGTTTGAAAGAATGTCATTGGGAATAATCATGAGACTCATCACCATTTTGATTAACGGTTTATGAAACTTGTTTCACGAAGTTGAAAGTCTTGGAACTGTTGCAGCTGAGTTTCATATTAGTTGCAAGGCACTTTACATTAAGCCCGCCTCACACTAAATGTGACACGGTGTGTGTGTGTGTGTGTGTGTGTGTGTGTGTGTGTGGTAAGCCAGAACAACTCTGTGACACTTCTTACCGAACACGACACACATGCAGCACAAAGCAAAAGACCTTTTTTACATGTTTTTTAACACCTTTTAAAAAAACAAAAGATGTTTATTAGCCTAGTTCAGGGATCGGCAACGTGCAGCTCAACAAGCCGCCAGTGGCTCTTTTACTGCCCTGTTGTGGCTCCACAGCTGAATCAGATTAGTAGGTAAAAATAAAATAATCCTCCTTTACAGTAAAATAAAGCTCTGCTGATCGTTCAACACAGTTTAACAATAAATGGTCTTAAACTCTGGAGTTAATGTAGAACTGCTGATTCACCCTTTAACCCTGAAGATCAGCGCAGACTGCTGGTCACCATAGCAACACAGACAACAGTCTCGTCTAGCTAGTAGCTAAAGAAACGGCAAAGAGAGAGATTTAAGATGGACATCGATAATTTAGAGATGAATGGACTTAATAGTGTTTATAATCACTCCAGCTGGTTTCCTGATACGTTTAATCTGCAGTGAGAAACTGAAACACTAAAAAGTCACAAAGTTGAAATCAGTTTCTCATTCAGCAGCTTTGTGTTTGAATCCACCTTAAATGGTGCAGCAGTTACATTGTGACGCCTCAGGCACCATTTAAGGTGGAACGGGAAAATTCAAAACGAATCTGGTGAATGAGAAGCGACTTCAGCCAAATTTTACAAGAAACTGTTCCACTTTTGGAAAAGTTTCCTGCTGGAGATGTGAGAAAAGCAGCTGTAGCTGAGCTAAAGCTTAAAGCAGAGCAAAGTAAGTCTGCGTTTTTGTTTATATTTTTTAGTGTATATCAGTACATCAGCACATACTGAGACACATTTACAGCCAAGATGGTAAAATGGACATAAAATATTGTGGCTCTCAAGCTGGTTTGACATTTTTTTTGAAAGGACAAAGTGGCTCTTCTTAACATTTGGGTTGCGACTCCTGGCCTAGTTTGTATATTACGACATAAACACTGCATTTCTTTATTGTTTCTGTCCAGAAAGTGTGAGCATGCCACGTATGGCACGCATCAAAAATGAACCCAAAGTGTATTTTTAAGCTTCACACGTTCGTTACCGTTACAGTGCCGCATGACACTGTGAAAGGCTACGTTGATTAATATAGGAGTGTATTGCGAGTTATGCGTCGTGCAGCATGTCAGTTGTGAATTGGGCTTCATGCAACTCATGTCAGGTTTCATGTAACTAAAGTTGCATGGAGGTTTCACCATGCAAAGTTTTGGTAAATCTGGCAGTGTATTTTATGACTCTAGCCCAAAATCTGGACATGCGTCAGGCTCCAGTCCTCGCGAGCCAAAGCTCTGCAGACCTCAGCACACTGCCTCATTAAACACACCTGATTCAGCTCATCAGCTAATTAGAAAGACCTTCATGAACTGAATTCAGAGTGTTAGATGAGGGTGAACACTGATCTCCACAGCACTTCGGCCTGGAAGCTCCAAATTCAAACCCTGGAGAGAATAGAATTAAATAGAATTACTGTAACATAAACTGGTCTTCCATTTGTCTTTAATTGAGACTGTGTGCTGTAAACCTTCATCTGGGATTGAAAACCTAAACCGTAAAGTTTTATTTAACTCTGTGTGTGTGTGTGTGTGTGTGTGTGTGTGTGTGTGCTTTATAAACCCTCAGAGCTTTGTCTTATGCAGCTCTCCTGTGTGCAGTTCCTAAGCCTGCCTCATTTAATTAGGGATCAATTAAAGCATGCAGTAATAATTACCAAAACTCACTCAAACACGGGAGTCTGGAGCACAGACTGTTTAAGAGCTTACTGTGCGTGTGTGTGGTGTGTCTTTAGGGTGGGCCGGGTGGGCCGGGTGGGCTGCACTGGTGTGCGGAGGCAGTCTGTGTTTGAGTGATGTGTGTCAGTTTGTGCAGTCTAGCGTGGTGGTCTCGCTCGGCTGTGCACTGACAGAGCTGGAGGAGTGTTTCTGTGAAAGACGGAGAGGAGTGTAAACGTATGATGGTGAATGTATAGGAGAAAGAACGAGAGCGAGTGTCACAGAATGAGAGGAATAAAAGGAGAGAAAGAGAAAAGAGAGTATTTTCGTGTGCGTGTGCTGCAGACTCCTCCCTCTGAATTATCCCCCTTTTAATTTTTCATTCCTTACAGCATCTCCAATTTTTCTGCATGAGTGTATGTGGCTTAACTTCTCCTTCAGCATCTCTCTCTCTCTCTCTCTCTCTCTCTCTCTCTCTCTCTCTCTCTCTCTCTCTCACTCTCCCTCTCTCTCTCTCTCTCTCTCTCTCTCTCTCTCTCTATCTCTCTCTCTCTCTCTCTATCTCTCTCTATTGTCTCTGTATATTAGTGTTTTGATGACACTGCAGACGTTGATGCTTTTAAGGTTTGATGTGGATTATGAACATTTTGACAGTAAAGAGGTTTCCATGCTTAGATCATTCACACTCCTCTCTCTCTCTCTCTCTGCTCTCTATCTCTCTATCTCTCCTCATTCTTTCATTCTATCTTTCCCTCTCTCCTCTCCCCATCTCTTTCTCTCTCCCTCTCTTGTTCTCTCACCCCCTTTATCCCCTCTCTCTCTCCTCATTCTTTCACTCTGTCTCTCTCTTCCCACTCTTTCACTCTTGCTACTTCTCTCTTTCTCTACTCTCCATGCTCTTTCTCCTCTCCCTCTTCCTATCTCTCTCTATCCCCCTTCCCCTTCTTCCTCTCTCTCTCGTGTTCTCCTATTCTCTTGCTCTCTATCCCCTCCTTTTTTAAAATCTCTAATTCTCTTTCTCCCCCCTCCTCGTTATCTCCCTCTCTCTCTTTCTTTCAATCTCTACCTACTCCTTCTCTCCTTCTATCCTCCCGTATTTCCCCTTCCTCACTCTCTCCCTCTCTCCCCCTCCCCACCTCTCTCACTCTCTCTCCTCATTCTAATCCCTTCCCACTCCCTTTCACTCGTCCCCTCCCTCTCGCGCTCTCGCTCTCTCTCTCTCTCTCTCTCTCTCTCTCTCTCTCTCTCTCTCTCTCTGTAGTGATCTGAAGCAGGAATTGGAGGAGGAGGGCAGTCGGTGTTTGCTGCTGGTGAAGCAGCACAGGTTTAACGAGCAGTGCTGCATCCGCTGCTGTCAGCCCTTCAGCTTCCTGCTCAACCCGCGCCGCGCCTGCCTCGACTGCACCTACAACGTCTGCAAAGCCTGCTGCAGCTACAACCAGCAGGAGAGAGGATACATCTGCACCTCCTGTCACAAGACCAGGTCAGTGCCAGCGTGCAACACTCACATGCAGCAGCATTACGTGTGCACATCGCATGCCACTCGCATGCACCTGCAGCCGAGAGAGGACGGCTATTTCATTAGGAAACAGCGAGCGGCTGCACGTGAAGGAGCATGCGGGTCACAGACAGACGAGCATGCAGACTCGGCACTGGAGATAAAGGGTGGGCTCTAAAGGGTGGGCTCTAAAGGTACAGACGCAGACCACATGCTGGTATTTTGCACACATGTAGGGAGTCAGATGGGATACATGTGCAGTGCGTGCTAAAGCAGCAGGTGACCGAGTGTGTCACCCGCATCTGACATCTCACTGTACATAGACACCAACTATAGATGCTCAATTTATTAACAATTAAGGTCAGGCTTAAGACCAGGGTGCGGGTTTGGTTTTGAGGTTAAGGTTAGGGTTAGAGTTAGGTCAAAGTTCAGGGTTAGGGTAAATTAAGGGAAATTTAATAGTGAAAGGGGAATTCCACCAATTTTTCTAAATGTCTACATAATGGAAAAGTTGAGATGTCTTTCAGAGAGTTTTGATGTAAAATGTATTGTACATTTCTTTACAGTGGTGGTGATAGGAACCAGGGGCCAGACTCTTTCCAAGTCATTTTGGACCATTTCTTTTGGTTTCTACAGCAGCGGATATATATCTGCTGCTGTAGAGACCAATATATATATATATATGCTATCAAAAAAAAAGAACACCAGTGAATATACACGAGTTTTTTGTGGAATAGTGATGTTAAAATAGTGGTGACCCCTGGTTCCTATCACCACCACTGTAAAGAAATCTCTACAATCAGCCATTAACCACTCTGAATCTCAATGAAGGAATTATGCAGAAACTTTGGAAAATCAATGGAGTTTCCCTTTAATGCATATGCAGGTAGAGCAGCTTCATTTACTCAAAAGGGCAGATTAATGCACACACACACATACCAACTCTGAGACACACACACACGAATACACATCCACCTGCATCTAGAGAAGACGAAACATCTGTGCACCCAAGAGCGTGGATACACTCCAGAGAGCCCTCCTGACTTACAGAAGCAGATGTGCTTCTAATCTAATCTAAACCACACACACACACACACACACACACACACACACTCACACACACACTCACACACACACACACTCCTACTGGGTTATGCATGTCTCTCAATACGTCTTACCATTTATTTAGTCTTGCTTTGGCTTCAGGGGCTGGAAGAGAAGAGAGACAAACAAAAATGAGCAGTAATATACACTCTTAAAAAAAGATAAGAGCTCTTTAATAAAGGCAATGGGAGTTCTACATAGAACCATTTGCATGCTTAAATGGTTCTTTGCCTGATGAAATGGTCCTTCAGATTGATGGAGAATGTGTTGTATATAGTTGTAGATAGAACCTTTTTGAAAATGGTTCTATATAGCACCAAAAAGGGCTCTGCTATTGTTAAAATTTGACGTCATAATAGAACAACCCTTTTTGGTGCTATATAGCGTCTTACACAACACATTCTCCATCCTGAAGAACCATTTCACCATGAAATAACCCTTTAACCCTTCAATTTTCTTTACTAGCGAACTCTTGAACCGTCTTTTTAAGAGTGTTCTGCACAAAAGACATTTAACTTCCAGCCAAAACAGCTGGAGAAGCAAAAAACTTTATTTCAGCTTCCATTCTTTACAGGAGCCTCACTTTCAGTTCCTCAAAGAATCTGCAGACACACCTCCAAAGTTCAGTCTTAGAAGCTGGTTGATGATTTTCTGAAGTAATCAAACACATTCAGTGGTGTTGAGGTCTGGACTCTGGGGTGGTCAGTCCATCGTTCAGCTTCTTTGTTTGATGTGTCCGTCTCCTTTTCTCAGTGAGGTTCTTCTTGATCAGCTACACATCCTTTCAGACCCACAGCGCTGAGTCGTCTTCTCACAGTGGAAGGATGGACAGAAACACCTGTGGATGCAAAAGTGGAGCTTGATTTTTGAGTGTTGGTGGTCTGTGGGGTCTTGCATGATTGTTAGGAGTCTCATATTTTGGAAAGATTTAGGAAACTCACATATTTTCTGTTGACGGTCCCCATTCCTGCGGTAGTGCCTTATTTTAGTGCGCTGGCCGCTTTGATGGGAGATTAAATATAGGAAGCGTGGCTCTCTTGGAAAATTTGAATGTCATTCGAAAGAAGTAAATGGACGTGTTGAGATTTTGATTGGACAGCAGTGACATAGGGTAACACTTTATTTGGATAGTCCACTTTAGATGCTTTGTAGATACTTT